TCATCATCATCATCATCATCATCATCATCATCATCATCATCATCATCATCATCATCATCATCATCATTCATCACCATTCATCACCATTCGTCACCATTCATCACGTTATATGTTCATGTCGTTTTGTTTCCTTTATTTTCCCCATGGGTGAATCATGTGAATCCCTTGGCATGGGGAAGATGTTTTTGGACTCCAGGGGGACAGACCACGACCGTTTCAGATGGTTTTTTCCACTACGTGGACTACCTAGCGCTACACCTGTCGGGTGTCCAATGGAGAGCCATGAGTGTAGGGATGTTCATTGGTGGCTCCTTGGAAGCAGTTCAGCTGGCTGGAAGAGTATATGTAATTACTTAATCTATAAGAGTAATAGATCCAATCACTGAATGGGCCCCCTCGTTGGAGAGGAGCAGGATGCTGCAAGAATTTGGATGGGAGTATGATTGTATTCATTGGCTGAAATGGTGTAGCAGGATAAAGCTGTGAGTCATACCATGCTTTAGTATGCCTTAGTCATCTTCGGTCCCACTTGGATGGTCCACTCAGAGTCGAAACCCTAAATGAGTCACGCTGTAAAACCAAGATCCCTCCAGAACGAAGCTGGAGGAAAAAGGAAACACAATGTACCGTACGTAGCTCACGTCGTGATCACACGTGTTGAGTGATTTGCTCAATCCTTTGGATCAACCATCAAACTGCCTGTAGGCTTGCTGTGGCAGAAGAGGTCAGCGGTCAAGAGGGCTGGACATGCACTCGACTCGAGGGAAAAACGACCGAAAACAGCATGAGGGGTCCAGCACGGGGGTTATTGTTATTCATTGATTCAGGCTTATAAAGCCCACCGTTTGAAGTATGAAGCATCAAGATGCACCGTTTGCAGACATTTGATGAAATTGGACATCAACAGCTGCATGCTTTCTACGGCACGGGAAGAGTGGGTGAGAGTTCTCTGCGTTTTCAGCAGTTTCATCCACAAAAGGCCAAGTGTTCGTGTCGACTCTCCCTGTAATCTCTCTACTTGTAACAGTCCATGTATTTTTTTTTTCCCAACAGATTGTTAAGTGTTCAGGGTCAATGTAACATGGGTAATCATTCCATACATGATTCATTCATGTTTGCAGGGGATTATACAAGTCCCAAATCCTCCAAGGGGTCGCCTTCTCATTCTTGTCACGTGCGCCCCATCGGGATCACCCAGCTACCGCACCGCACGGAGATGGAGCGTTCCTTCGGCGCTGCAGGAGCTGCAGGAGTTGTTGAGCCAAGTGCAATCCTTGACTTCCAGGGTGCTGGCCTTGGAGGAGCAGAAAGTTTGCCTCTGATTGGGGGAGGGGGTGTGAAATGTCGTTTACAAAAGAAGAGGTCAAGTAAAAGTATCCAGGCTATCAGGACTCAGGAGGTGTGTCTTTAATTGTTTTGTTTGTGTGTGTGTGTGTTTTCTTTCTATTCTTTGGGGTAAGCAGTTTCTGTTCGACGGTCACTTGAAAGATTTTGCCTGCAGTGCTCGCTGAATTTCACCATCAGTGCTACCATCAAGGTCGTGTGTCACGACGATGAGCGGCATACGCACTTGGTAAATCCAAATCCACAATCCCAAAGGACTTTCCATACGCCTTCGGATCATACCACAAAATTCTCAAACTCTTGGAATTGTTCCCAGCGGCCCCGAACGGCCCCAGAACGGCCCCCGTTCGGCGTTGCGCCAGGAGGAGAAGCAGCGCTCAGCCCGCCGAATGACTGAGAGGCAGCTGGTCACATGACCCACAGCAATCGTTAAAACGCTTCGTTTGTACTTGTGGTTATACGAATGATGGGTTCGGGGTGTACTATCCACAACACATACTGTAGCAATCCACCTTGGTATTTTCACTACAATATCGATGATGATACCATCATCACAAAACAATCATTTTGTTTAATAAATCATGATCTGCCCATGTTGGAGGTGGCATGTCAGAGCCGATTTTATAGAGAACACAGGAAGTTACGTGCCTCGATTGTATAGAGGATTTTTGTGCATGAAAACATATCTTGGCAAGCTAAAGAAGTCTGATTTTGTTGTAGTGAAGCCATGATGGAATTTTAGATGTCAAGAATATTTTTTGGCCAATGATCATGTTGAGATACTATAGAATTGTGGTAGCTTTCATTATTTCATGCAGGAATAGGTTGCTAGAGGTCCTGTTTTCAACGTAGTCAGATTTTGCAACACAAAGCCTGTTATATATTCTATAGAGACTGTACTACCCCATACTTGAAGAACAAAAAACTGTTCGAACATACCTGTGCCCTACGATTCTATAGTGATTGTACTTGAAATGTCTATTGTACTTCTTTTCCATGTCCCCGACCCAATTCTATAGAGCTGGCCATGATTTTCTGTCTCACAATCCCCAATTCTATAGAGCTCAAAATGCAGCCTCTCATTTTGGTTGTCATATGCAGCATGTTATAAGTACAAAATCGGTGTAGCCAGCCCCCCCACTTAATTCCAAGGGCATTTGTAGAAAAGAACTACTCGAAACCACTACTCCCCCAAAAACGGCAAATAGCCCGTTGCACCGTTGCATCCCCCCCCCCCATTAACGCGGTCAGCGGTCAATTCCACCCCCCTCTTCAAGCGAGCTCATTTCAAGAACACGTCCCGTTCACCGCTCGCATCCCACGTCCGTCCGGGTCAGGTCTGCCCACGGCAACGGTCCACGGAACGGTTCGCGGAACGGAACGGTCCACCCGTAGGTTTCAGCAGCTCGCACGGACCTGTGAGGGCTCGGTGACCGAGAGGGATGCACCGCGCGCGTGGGGCGGCTGGACACCTGGCGACCGACTCGGTGTCGAAAGCAGCGTAGACTCGGAAAGCCAGCTCTGTGGAAAAGCGTGGGTTTAGGTGTGGGGTGTGGAAGTGAGTGTCCAGTTCGGAAGTGGACATTATTCATCAATCAAATCTGGTTCTTTGATGAATCTGTTGAGCTGATCCTTTTTGGGGGGAACACTCTCATATGCAGCTTGCAGATGTTTCAGTCATGAATTGCTCAAAGTCGAAGGACCCGGCCCAAGGAGGGGAGACGGCAGCCAGTTCTCACAGATGATTTGATGAAGAGGCTGAGACGGAGCAAGACAAGTGAAGAATTCCATACTTCTTGGCATGTTTGGAGCCTCTGAGTGCAGTTAAGCTAGGTACAAGTACCCGTTGTTTGTGAAAAAAGTAATGCCCCAAACCTTGTAGGGCCGCCTGTTTTGCTGCACATACCTTTGGCAGTACCTTTGGCCTGTATGTAGGGGTTTGGAGTAGTTGGGATGGGATAGCATGACATCACTGTCTTTATAGCCACCTTTTTCCTGTTCCGTTCCATGGACCGATCGGTTGTTTCAATGGGTCCATGGAGTCCGTCACTTGTTTCATGGTCGACGCCTGTTGTTCGGACGACGCCGGTTGTTCGGGTCCACATCAAGACGCAAGACCATTCTACTGGGATGAACCGTGGATATTGCCTACTATATAACCTTTATAAACCCACGGTTCATCCCAGTAGCGAAGATGGCCTATGAAGAGCAAGGGACGTGCGTCGGCCACGGACACGGCTCCCGAAGTCGGCGACTCATCGCTCCGAGGTCAAGGCGAGCTCATCGCTGCTCAGCAACGGCGACTGGAGACGCAGGAGACGAGAGCAGTGGAAGATTGGGAGGGTGCTACATTGGAAGGGTTTGAAGGTTGGATTTGTCTCAACATGAGCCAAAGATTGGATTCATCCAAGTTTCCTTCTAGGTGTTGTTGTTGATGATTTGTCAGATTGCTTTCAGGCACCGAGTTTTTGTGAGGAAGTATGAGAATCTCAAATCTATACCTGCACCATCAAGAAGTATTATACAGTTACATGTTTCTATCACTGTCATGTGTAATTATCATATTGATCATCCATGAAGTTCATGTCCAGTATAATTTGTGTTCATTCCCATCGCAATGTATCAGCAATATTCAAGAATGGGTGCATTAATTAATTATGGTCGTCATGCCAGGATTTTGCTTTCATGTTGCCTATTATCATCATCATCATCATCATCATCATCATCATCATCATCATCTCATCATGACTCATCATGAACACATCATTGCAGCTTTTGTCCTCACACATCTTGCAGCACACCACACGAAAACACCCTTACACTTCTACATCAG